AGGAAATAATTTAGATTGAGACTTATAAATGAACGTGCAAATTTTAAAAATTATTCTATATTTCTCAAGCCAGTGCAAGAGAACAAGATATGGAGATATATGAGAAAAGAAAGGGGCAGGAGCAACTAGACGAGCAGCAGAGTTAAAAACTTTACTTAAAGGATAGAGTATAGAGTCAGGAAGACCATAGTAGAGCGAGTTACAATAATCAATCCTAGATAAGACTAACGAAGTAACAAGAAGGAGAAGAGTAGGATCATCAAGAAAAGGCAAAAGTTTTTTTATTCTTCGTAGATGAAAGTAAGAGCTTCTAGCAACACTATTAATGAAAAGAGAGAGACATAGTAGAATCAAAGATAAAACCTAGATTACGAGACTTATGAGAGACATCAAGAGTTTTAGAATCAGGTAAGATAATAGGAGGAATAGTAATAGAGTGTTTAGATTTATTAAAACAAATTAATTTAAACTTAGAAGGATTAAGTTTAAGACACATAGAGTCAGACCAAGCGATAATTGAAGAAAGACATAGAAATAAATTATGAAGAACACTATTGAGATTAGATGGAGGAAAAGAAGTATAAATGTAAGAATCATCAGCATATAGTTGACTAGAAAAAGAAAAGTTATTAATAATACGAGGTAGTTCAGAAGTATAGAGTATGAATAGAAGAGGGCCAAGGATAGAACCCTGAGGTACCCCGAAAGTAAGAGTAGAGGAGTTAGAAGTAGAATTATTGAGAACAACAGAATAAAAACGATTACAAAGATAAGAAGAAAATGGTATATGTATTGATAATAAGGAACTTCCAATATATGATATATTCTATATATATGTATCCATGGATCATTTAAATATGAAGAAAACCAATTATAAGCTAACCCCCGAATACCAAATGAATATAACTTGTACAATAAAATACTGTGATCTAAAGAGTCAAAAGCCTTTCAAAGATCTCTAATAACCCCAATAGAGTATTTTTTAGATTCAAGTGCATGAGAAACAAAATCAATAACGTCTGAAACAGCAAACTCAGTTGACAACTTTTCACGGAAACCATATTGATTTAAACAAATAATATTATGATAATTTAAAAATTTATTAAGACGATTTAAAATATTTTTTTCAATTAATTTTGACAAACTAGAAAGAACAGAAATAGGGCGATAATTATTAATAGAATGACGGTCACCAGATTAAAATAAAGGCAACACTTTAGAAATTTTCAGACAATTAAAGAAGTGACCAGTATTAAAAGATAAATTAACTAAATGAAGCAACGGAAATAAGATACTTTGAAAAATATTTTTTAATAAAAAGTTTTAAATAAAATTCTTACCACAACTATATGTGTTATCAAAATTTTTTACAACATCAATAATTTCAAATGGTAGACATTCAAACAAAACGAAATAATTTGAAATATTAGAAGAAAACAATTTTGAGTCGCGTTAGAGAATCAAAGTATTATGCTATTATGATTGACGAAACAACCGATGCATCACATAAGTCGCAAATGACTATAATATTACGTTACTTGCTGCCTGATGGATCAGTTCGAGAAGATTTTGCAGGATTTGTTGATCTACATGACAACAATTATCAATCTGATATTACTGCATCAATTGACACTGAACCTATTCTTGACGGCAAAATTATTGGTCAATCGGTTATAAACATGTTTGCAAACAAGTTCCACCTTTTTCTAGAAAATTGTGATGGTGTGGGAACAGATGGTTGCAGTGTTATGTCTTCGTTACAAAAAGGAGCAGTAGTTAAAATTCAAAAGGTTGCAGTGAATGCAGTCTGGTGTCCTTGTTATAACCATGCTTTAAATTTAACTTTATCAAAAAGTTCGAATGTACAAGCAATAAGAAATTGTTTGGGTGTTATTAGTGAAGTAGTTGCTTTTTTCAATGCTTCTGCAAAACGAAATTTTATAATAAAGAACATGATAAATTCACAACTGGTTTCACTCTGCGAAACACGATGGATTGAGAGACATGATGCATTGCTGATGTTTAGTATTGAACTTTTGAACTTCCACAAATAATTGATGCGCTAAAGAATATATCTAAATGGAATGACAGAACAACTTCATCAAAAGCAACAACTTTATTAACAGCAATTAGAGAAAGTGATTTTATTGTGTCCTTAGGCTGTGCTGTGCATGTATTCTCTCTAACGAAGGGCCTCAGTGAATTGTTTCAAAAAAAAGTTTAAATTTACATGATGCAGAAAATTGCATTAAAGACCTGTTAAATGTTTTACAAAAAAAGAGAGAAAACTGCGAAGAAATGTTTTCGAAAATTTTTAGAGCAGCAGAAAAAATAATAATTGAAAAAGATGGCACTTTTACCTACAAAAGATTTGTGCATCGACAGACATGCCGTGAAAATGTACCTTCTGATTCATTGGAAGAATATTACAGGCGATCAGTTTACATCCCTCTTCTTGATGCACTGATATTGGATATAAATACTCGTTTTTCTAAAGAAAATTTACAGTGTCTCCAAATCTATTCTTTGATGCCAGAAAATATTATTAAACTAAATCATAAAGATGTTGTCGAATCTGTTTCAGCAATCAGTAATTTCTATGGTACCATTCTTGGACTTAGTACCCAACTTGAATTTATATCGGAAGTTGAATTGTGGCAGAGCAAATGCTTTAGAATGAACAAGGACGGAGGAGGAGTCAAATCACTGACTACTGATTTTTCTGTTGTTTTTCATTTGTGTGACCCCGTACAATATCCAATCACTCAGAAGTTGTTCCGTATTATTAAAGCATGTCCAGTTAGTGTTGCCAGTGCTGAACGTAGCTTCTTAACTATGCGAAGAATTAAAACATGGCTAAGAACACGAATGACAGAAGACAGATTTGTCGGATTGGCACTACTTAATGTACACAGAGACGTTTTAGTAAATGTTGAAAATGTAATTGAGCGTTTTGCGAAGTCAGGAAATCGTAAAATAGAATTTGTTTTATAAATTGTTATTAGTCAACCTATCAAGGTAGTAGGTACCTCGCTAGTCTAATAAAATAAATAAACCCATTTTTTAAAACACTTATAGGATTAAAAAAAGGAAAATAATTTTTTTATATTTATGTATGTACTCATATGTATATATTGACTATGTTTGATCCAAATCATTACATTTATTATTTTATGACATTAAAAGTTGAAAGTTTTTGATGACATTGCATGCTTTCTTATAAACAGTAATAAAGAGTTGACAAAAATAAACTAGAAATTTTTCTTTTTTTTCAGTAGGGGGAGGGCGATCGCCTCCGTCGCCTCCCCCCCCCCCCTATGAATCCGTCACTGCAGCTTTCCTTTTCAAAATTCTCGGCGTTAAAGCATCAATACCAGTCAGTTACATTTCAAGTATATATTCCAAAAATTTCATAAAGTAATTTTTTAAATGACAATTCAGCTTTTTGAAATAGAAGCATCAATGAATGCAAGCCATATTAAAAATTTCTTTAGATAACTATTTGTATTTGAGAGTTGGAGAAAGTTTAATAAATTTTATTTGTTACGTATATTATGTTATAACCTGTCAAGCATACAAACCATTTTAACAGCAGATGTTGATGGTTTTTCAACTGGCCGCGATGATGTTGAAGGTAACTGAAATGTTAAATTATTAAAGTTTTATCAACACTGGACGTTTTTTGAATATATATTATTATTTGCAAGGCATCTAATTAATATCCTTAAGGTGATAACTCCGGTCAGAACGACAAGACAAATGTTTAATTATGTTTCTATCTTATACATTAAACATAAACATGCTTCTTATTTTTTAATATAAATATAACAAAACTTAATGCAAAGCAAATTTTTAAAAATATTTAATGAAAACTGAAATTTGTAACACAATCTTGATAATATATAGATACAAAAATACGAACCAAATTTACACTTGACATCACATCAGTTATTAACGTTGCAGAAATATTATCAGAAACTAACTTTACATCAGAAGAAGGCTAAAAATACAAAATGTTTAAATTATGATAGAAGCAGGTTATTGTTTACAAACTTCAAAAATTAAAATAAGTTTTTTTTTGTATATAATAAATCATAACATAAATAAAGAACACTTCAGAAAAATTATCGTGACAACAATATCTTAATTTCAAAATTATAACTTTAAAAACATTTAAATTATACAACTGAAACTTGAAATGATTAGTTTTTATATACGTAACACTAACCTTGTCAAATATCGTTGGAAAAACATCTTTTTGAAGAAAAATTTTCAAACCAACTTTATGAAAACTTTCTGGGGTAAAATGTTTGCTACAAATTAAAATCTTTTTTTTTCATCCTTATTGTCAATGTATTTTTTAATGAGGTTTTCCCATTGCATTCTCTTAATATCATTCTTTGGCAGTCTGAATTTGAATTTAACTTAATTAATGTCAGCACAAATTATTTATACAACTTTGAGTTAACATTATCATTTAATGCATTTATTATGTTACTAATATTATTTATTATATTATATTATTATATATAATTGTTTGCTGATTATTATAATTATATTGTATAGTGTTATACTTTATAGCTATAATATAGTGTGTAGTATAGTCTTAATTAAATTAAATTAAATTTACCTTTGTAAAGTAACATTTTAATTTAAATAAGATGAATGGCATTTTGTTATGGAACACACAGGCATTTTGATTTGGTTGAGAATCGGTGTCTGTCAAATTAAATACTAAGCAAATAATTTCTAATTAAAAATGTATTACTGTTTTTAATATTATTTTGACAAGTTAAGAATTAAGATTCTCTAATAGTTTAATCTCAATGTCATGTCATGTGTACTTAACTACTTATGAATATGTATGTATGTATGTATGAACCCATAATTGATTAGAACTATAGGGAAGTAATAATCATATCCGGGTTCAGCTTTAATCTATGTTAAACGCTTCGCACAGACAGGTATTTTAATGCTCCATCCAAAATACAGAAAGAATTTTATTTTTGAAGTAAAATAGAAAAGGATTGTTTTACATAACTCTTATCTAATGGGTCACCCGATATTTCTACAATCCTGCTACAGAGTTCATTCAGAAAACTCTGAGTCTGAGCATCGGTTGGACCAAAGGTTTCAATGCAGACTGGCTGAAAAATTTTGCTTTCTGCAAGAGCCGCATATTTTGAATTTTTAAAGTCTGCGGCTCTTAAGGCAGCGGCACCCGCCTCCTGTGAGGTAAAATTAATGTACCTTTCAGCCATGGTGTGAGGGAACGTAACATCCCAAGCAAGGAAACGTCCCTGCGCCCATGGTGAAATAGTATACCCATCGGGCCTGAGGCTACCTTCCTCCATAAGACCCGTGGGTTCTTTAATTGTGGGTATGTTTGCCCTCTGAAAGCACCTGACCAAAAAATCGTTCATGGCATACATGTATGTATGTATGTGTGTGTGTGTGTGTGTGTGTGTGTGTGTGTGTATGTGTGTGTGTATGTGTGTGTGTGTATGTGTGTATGTATGTTAAAACCAAAACATGATGAGTGACACTGAACCGTCAAACATCAAGTTACAAATGGATTAACACTTTGATTTGTCGTTAATTGCACATGTCGGCATTCAGTTGGATATTTCCAAGCACACAGACACGCAGGAACCGCTGCAACAAGCACGAAATGTGGTTAGTTGCGAAAAACAGTTCCCTGCTGTCGCCTGATCTGACGCTGATCATTTTACATATTGCCTTAAGAAATTTAAGGGTGTTGGGGTCCATCGGGCCGAGAACCTCGATACATATTGGCAAGAATTCCATCGAGGGGAGAGCGTTCCCATATTTTTTCATTTTCTCGTCCGCTGCCCTGGCCGCGGCCAAACCGCATTCTTTACTTGTCAGGTTTACATATCGTTCGGCAAGGGTGCTAGGGACCGCAACATCCCACGCCAAACATCTACCGGCTCTCCAAGGTATTAGCGTGCATCCGTCCGGGCGCCTACCATCATGCGCAGAAATGCCGGATGGTTCCTTGAGAACCGGGATTGAAGCCTTGGAGAAGAGCCGACAAATGTATTCATTTAATGCTGAGTGACGTAGTTGACGGCTCCCACCAAACCGTGGTGCCCAAACTCGTCCGCCCCAGCGCCACATCGGCACGTGTATTTATTTTGAATGACCAGGCCAAGTCTGAAGCCAATGGCAAATCTCACAGACTCGTCGTCAAGCCTGGAGCCCACAGAGGTGTTGGGCCACGATCTCAACCACCCACAGCTGGCAACGCTGGACATGGCCAACAAACGAGCGGTGGAAAAGTCGTCGCCGCATAAAGACAACAAATTTTGAAAGATTTTTTTATATTCTTCGTTCAAAATGTGGACGTGCGTACGGTCCCCCGGGGCGGACACTGGGGGAAGAATATCGCGGCAACGAAAAAACCGGTGGAGCAGGGAAGACTGCAGGTCGAAAGTTGCAGCGGCAGAAGAATTATAAACAACAGGAGCCAGCTGAACCACGCTAAGCAACCCCAGCCCACCAAATCGCACCGGCAGCAGAGCCTGGGACCAACCACTGTCGGTCACTTGAACATTGCAAATCGACGACAGGGCGGTGCGCAGGGCTCTGTCAAATTCGCCCAATTTGGAAGGGTCAATGTGTTTGGATGTACGCAGGAAGTACATCAATTTGGGCAAACTGAGGGCATTGTAGATAATAGTCAAGGCATCATGGGCCGAAAGACAGGAAACACGACCCAGGGTCGGTGCCGCACCCGACCCCAAGCTTAGGTTGTCCACACGGTCGACGGCTAGAAGCAGCTCTCGCGCCCGATGAATCAACTTTTTTCCGGGACCCCGAGCATTCCTGTCCTTTCACTTTACCTCCGTGCCGACATAACTTCCCGTCTGGAGTGCTTCTATAGTGGTTAAAGCAGACGGGGCACTGTTGTAACGTTGGAGCCATATGTGATTAAAAACAACCAAGAAACGAAGGAAAGGAAACAAACCAAGTGGGGTGGATGGATGAATGAATGGATGAACAAGCGAATGACCAATTGAACGGGCCAGCGACCAAACGAATGAATGAGTGAATGATGAAGGAATGAATGAGTTATGTATGTATGTTTGTATGTATGTATGTATGTATGTATATATGTATGTATGTATGTATGTATGTATGTATGTATGTATGTATGTATGTATGTATGTATGTATGTATGTATGTATGTATGTATGTATGTATATATGTATGTATGTATAGCAAAAAAACGTGGACTGCTCTGAACGAGTTAAAAAACGGAAAAGACGTAAAACCCGATAGTATACAAAAATTAACAAATGAAGAAATTAAAATACCTGACCCAGCAAATGCTTTAAATAACTATTTTGTTGAATAGCACCAAATTTACTGAAGCTCATTCCACGGAATTCTCACTGGAAGAATTACTTCAAGACATTTTTTTCCAACTCGTTTTTTTGTAGATACGCAACGGCTGATGAGATCATTGCAACAACAAAATCTTTGAAACAAAAAACATCAAGTGGCTACGATGACATACCAACAAAAATTGTCGTCTCTACGATTCATTCTACTGTGTTTGTTATAGAATATTTGATAAATCTATCTTTTGAAAAGGGCAAATTTCCAAGCTGTCTCAAAATCGCCAAGGTAATTCCTATTGAAAAAATTAAAGGAAAAACAGATTTATCAAATTTTCGCCCTATATCACTCTTGCCAGCATTTTCAAAAATACTTGAAAAACTAATGCACCGACGAATGACTAGTTTTTTGCAAAAAAATAATATTTTGTCAAATTCCCAATTTGGTTTCAGAGAGAAATTTTCTACGGAATTAGCAATCGTAGAACTAGTTCGCAAGATTGGCATCAATACTGAATTTAAGGGATTTGTCATTGGAACGTGCTTAGATCTGTCGAAAGCATTTGATTGCATCAACCACGACATCATGCTCAACAAGTTGGAAAAGTACGGTTTTAGAAATACATCACTGCATTGGTTTTGTAGCTACTTAACAGAAAGAAAACAGTTTGTCTATGTGAACGATGAAATTTCCAGTCTGCTCGGAAACAACAACGGTGTGCCTCAAGGAAGCATCCTAGGTCCTTTGTTATTTATATTGTACATAAACGATCTTCCAGCTGCATCAGCGTTTTTTGACTACGTAATTTATGCTGATGACACGAATGTTTTTAGCAGCGGCAGATCAATGAAAGAACTTATTGAGGAAACAAACAGAGAGTTAAAAAACATAATCTCTTGGTTCGAAGCCAATAAACTTTCAATTAACAGTTCAAAAAGCTAAATGATGGTTTTTGGACCCGTACAATATCTAAATTACAAGGAGCCGTATAAAATCATCCTAGGTAACAACACAATTGTTGAAACAAAGTGTTTAAAACTTCTAGGCATGCTGCTCGATCCGAAACTCTCCTTCACACATCACATAAAACAAGTATCATCCAAATTTTCAAAGTCAATAGGAATGATAAACAGAGTAAAATCATTTTTGCCAAAAAACTGTTTGAATCTTTTTTATAATTCCCTGTGCATTCCGTTAATAAACTACTGCAACATTGTATGGGCTTCATCGTACCACACATCAACCTTACCAATAGAAATATTAATCAAAAGAGCAGTTAGATTGATAACGAGATCCAAACGATTTGAACACAGCCAACCATTGGTCAACAGCACGCGAAACTTGAATTTCTCGAAACTCAGCATTTACTTTCTGATGATTTTTGTTTATAAACATTTACAATCAATTGTCAATGACAAATAAAATTAAATAATTAAATAACCCTAACCAATCGATTACCTGATTTATTTAACAGTTATTTCAAGATGAAACAACAATGTCGGCAACAAAATAATCTTGTCTCTAACAAATCGAAAACGAATATTTTGTTCTCTCACGTGTATTGCAAGGGACCGAAAATCTGGAACGAAATTTTAAACAGTGGATTTAATTTTGAATTTATTTCGTTAAACAATTTTAAAAAAAAGTTAAAAGAATATTTACTTAAGTTTAAAACATAAATTTTTTGTTTTTGAAATTACGTTTAAATTCTGTTGAAAACTTATAACATTTTAAAAATTATGTCAAGGTGGTCACACTCGATGAGTTTCTGAAAAGAACTCTACTGTGGTCATCCTGTCTTCTTCCTATTGATATAAAGGGGAGAGAATTCTTTTTTTCTCTTTTTTCTAGATTAATTTTGAGAAGCGAATAAAAATTCGTTTCGTTTTGTATGTATGTATGTTAAAACCAAATCATTGACGAATGACACCAAAAGCCAAGCGTCTGACTAAATTTGATTTTGTTTGCTATAACGTCACTCAACCTCGTCGGCATTCAACTCCACATTTTTCAACACACAGACGTGCAAAAATCGCTGCAGAATGCACGAGATATTATTCATAGCGAAAAAATATTCCCTACTATCGCCTGACCTAATACTGATATGTTTACAAATCCGATTGAAAAACCCGGAGGTGTTACGGTCCATGGGGCCGAGGACCTCGATACAAATCGGTAAAAACTTCATCGAGGGGAGAGCTCCGTCGTACTTCTTGATCTTCTCGTCAGATGCCCTGGTTGCAGCCAAACCGCTTTCTTTGCTAGTAAGCTGCACGTAGCGCTCAGCAAAGGTGCCCGGAACGGTAACGTCCCACGCCAAGCACCTGCCGGCTCTCCAAGAAATCAAGGTACACTCGTCAGGGCGCTTACCGTCGTGCGCCGCAATGCCAGACAGTTCCTTTAAAACCGGAATTGAGGCCTTGGAGAAAAGCCGGCACACAAAATCGTTTATGGCTGAATGTCGCTGCTGGCGACCTCCGCCCAAACAACAAACAAGACCATGATGGCCGAGTTCACCTGCATGTGTATTGACTCTGAACGGCCAACCCCAGACGGAAGCCAATGGCTGTCCTGACCGTTTCGTCATCCAATCTGGTACCCACCGACGTATTGGGCAAAGATCTCAGCCAGCCGCAACTCGCCTCGCTAAATACTGCCAGCAAGCGAGCTGAGGTCGCCGAGTCAGGGCTTGAGGAAAGCAACTCTTTGAATGTGCGTTTATATGCTTCCTCCAAAATGTTGCCCTGGAAAAGGTCTGTTGGTTGGAATGGAGTCGGTGGAGTACAGTGTAGGCTACTAAATTGCCGAAGAAGGGCAGACTGTAGGTCAAGCGTGGCAGATGCAGAAGATTTATAAACAATTGGTGCAAGCTGAACCACGCTTAGTAACCCCAGTCCCGCAAATCGTACCGGCAGCTGAGCCTGCGACCAACCTTTGACGGTAATATCGACGTTACAAATGGCTGAGAGGGCCACCTGCAGAGCACCTTTAATGCCAACTCTGTTAATGCGCCCAAAATGGCCGCATTAACAGAGTTGGATGTGCGCAAAAAATACATCAATTTCGGCAAACTGAGGGCGCCGCGGATGATTGTCAGCGCGTCGTGGACCGGGAGAAGAGAGACAAGTTCGAGGGCAAACCTTAGCTCAAAAAGTTTTTTATTAAAAAACCTGTCCTGATGACCGCGGGCCATCATTGGAGTGCCTAAAAAATTTAATGATGAATGGGGCACTGTGGGGACATTAACCAGCACGTGTGGTTCACACTTGTTTGTGTTTAATTCGAGACCGAAGATGGAAGCGCCGACTCTCAGCGACAGGAAGTCGTCCGCTAAGATGTTACCCTCTGCGGCCAAGCTGACATCGTCCAGGTAACCATAAACAAACGCCGAAGATGACTTCGTCAACAGTGGCTGAAGGGTTAAAGCAAAAAGCATCGGTCCCAAAGGGTCACCTTGCTGTACGCCCTGTAACCAAGAGAAGAGACTCGGCCATATGCGGAATGACAAAAATTATAAATTTGAGGACAGTGCTGCTTAACTGCCTCTAACATTGAGCCGTTTTGGGAGTGCTGAAATCAGTTTACGTACGGCGTGGACGGCCGCCTTAGCACCACCCCTCACGCCGACGCCCAATAGAATAGGATAGAGTTTGGCTTTGACCTGTTCCAACACTATCGCCAGAGCGCACTTACTGGCCAGCCTCCTCCAGAAATTCCCCACCACGATGGGTCTGATTTCTCCATCTTTTTTGTTTAAAGCCACTAGACGGGCCCCAAAAAGAAACGGCTAACCGCGGGAGGGCAGACCCCAGATAACAACAAATTTACAAACCGGGTGAGGGCGTCGGACCGGAAAGTAAATCCTTTATGTGCTGAGGCATCAAGCCATCAAGGCCTCCCGATTAACCCAATGAACCATTATTAAACGACTTTATAGCTGTCAACACCTGGGTTGGTGACCATTAGACGGTTCCTGCGCGGGGAAAGCTCGCCTGTTCAATGGAGCACTGGGATGAATAGCCTTGAGTTTAGCGAGAGTCTCAGGTGAGCTCTCCGCCAGGCCCGCGGGCGAACAAGCAAGTCTGACGGCCGCCGAGAAACTGCCCTGTTCAATCCGAGTAGTTACTGCACTAATCCAACTGTTTGGATTGTGCTTACGCGGTTTGGTATTGTGGTCAGTGTTGAAGCTTGCCACAATAATCTCGACCTCGGTCGAACTGAATTCGGCCAACCGTTTAATAACGCAATTGGCTTGATTAGTCCTGCGACCGCCCCTGGTGGGCTTGAACAAAACAAATGCGAAAAAACATTGGAGCCTGCACCAATGGGCCGCGTCGCAGGGATCATCGCAAACGGCCGTCAATAAAGCCGACAATGCTTTAGATACCTTGTCTCTGCACGGTTTGGGAACGTGATCATACAGATGGGCAGTCCTCAAAACGACCGTCAGCCTGTCAAAAACATGAAAAAATCCACTTGGGAGGGACTCTCCGAGACCGATGCCGAAGAACCGCGTGTAACAATATGAGGGTTGATGACAGGTGCGGTGGTAAGAGGCAGTCGCGCGGAAGCAGATGAACCAATAACACTATTGATTTTATTATAGCTTCATCTTTTTCAAATTGGCGACTTTGCTGAATCTACTCTAGTGTGGAAGTGCAAATTTCGGCACGAGTGAAATTACATGTACCGACAAAATTGGTGGTACGTCAGACATCCAAATTAACATTGACAGATTGCGTATGTTCTGAAGCAAGCAAATGAAATCGGGTGTGTGTATATGTTGCTAGGACGCTGCTTCCGATGAAATAAGATGATCAATGCGTCAAGATATTAAACTTAAATGAAAAAACTCAGACTGATTAAACAGGGAACGCGGTTGTATTCAGTGATACAGGCACGGAAATTGGATTTGCGAGAGGGGTTTATCATAGGATCAACAGAGAGCAGGCCTGGCCGATAAAGCAACAACTCAGACGACATCCCCCGGCACAGCGAAGGAGACGGGAACGCGAAGCCAGGTGGTGGGTGAACCAGTTTGTAGCTTTTGGAGAGTCCGATGAAAAGAGGCAAGCAAAACAAGCTAGGGAGTGGACAGACCAAAGCGACCACAAAACCCAACGAGACAAGTCGCCAGTCAATTACACAAGTCACAAGCAGATGAAACCCGGTGAGTGGGAAGGCGGAACGTTTAGCCGACAAACGCTGCCTTGCCACACAACCATCGCTGGTGGACTGGATATTGGAAGGCCAGTTCTGCGAAGGCGAAACGTTTTTCTCCATAAACCAAACGGATCAGGCAAAAGAAGATAGTGAGTTGCACATCGAGACAACAGGCATCGCTGCACCGACGAGGAGGGAAAAAAAGACCATCTAGATGGGGCCCAAAACTAATGCCAATTAACACCCCAAACTTCAACAAAGTTCTATGAAAGCGAACGTCGAGACGACGTTCGATGGGATGGGGAATTTTGTAAGTTTTGTTGCGCATGTATGAATGAATGTGTGTTGGTTGGTTTGGCGCGCTTGTATGGAGTGGTCTGGTATGCATGCTGGTAAAACGTTGTATAAACTGGTTTTGCATGCATGCTTGTGGAATGTTATGTGAATTGGTTTTATGTGAATGGTATTGTGCGAGTATAGTGAATATATTTGAGAGTAAATGGTTGCTCAGGGGAATTAATAAATAAGTATTTTGGACAATTGTTTTAAGTTAGTTTTCGAGTTAGTTTTTGGTGTAGTTTTTGGAGTTAGTTAGGTTCCTGGCGTGTTAGGTTTTGGTCATTTTGGTAATTGGTGATATTTTTCTGCGAGTTTATTTTTCTGAATTTATTTACTGCTGTTCTGTTGCTGTTTTAATTAAGTTTATTATTTAGTTTGGAACATTTGGAAAACATTTATTTTGCAGAGTAAGATTTTTTTTTTGTTTGTAATAAATTTATTTCAGTTAGCTTTTGTTTGTCTTGTTCAACATATAAAACATGTATAAAGAAGACGTCAGCGGTTAGTAAGGCCGGATTGAACGACTGGCAAGCAGGGCGCAAAAGCACATCCGCCCCGGCCGTGTTTTCCGACCCTGAGATAAACGTTTGTGAGGAGGTGAGTCTCGGCCAAAAGCGAGACCGCCTAGGCTGGCGGTGGCGTTTGGTGATATTCGAATAAAGAAAAAATTTCACTGAGCGGCAAAAAATCACAATATATATACATATATTCACATATATCTATTATTTATACAATTGTAGATTAATGGAGACATACGCTCATGTATATATTATTACTACCATTATTACACTGGTCAACACCCAAAAAATTTCCTAAGGTCTTTCGGCTGATTTATGGAAATTTTGATGTCCTGAATCCAAATATCACATTGGTTTTTCTAGATCAGGTCATCTTTCTAAGCTATGGCCATATCTTCATTTTCACTTTTTTGTGTACAGTCCCAGGTATTTTCGCTGTATGTGATGCTTTGTTCTTAATCACTTCATCACTATGAGAAATTTGCAATTTTTAATTATTTGGTATTTTTATGTTTCCCCTATGCACACACACACACACACACACACACACACACACACACACACGTTCAATGCATTAAATCACGTAACTACAGTCACGTGATCAGACAATCGCAGACATGCCCGGACGAGGCTGTGTATAACTATGGATAGTTACGTCAGCATTTTCCAAATCTGAGCCATATAGCAGATTGCATTAGTATAGGTATCAGTTGCAAACGAATCGCAAGCGAACGACATGGCTTCCAAGAGAAGATCTTGTAAAAATAAACCCGACGTATTTTGCTATATCTGCGGTGAATACACACTTGTTCATAACAGGAATCAAGTCACATGTTTCATAAAGCGTGCTTACCATGCTTATTTTGGTATTAAACTTGGTGACCAGGATAAAGATTGGGCGCCACACATGGTATGCAAGGCTTGCACCGTGTATCTGCGTCAGTGGACCAAGGGCAAGAAGACGTGTCTGAAGTTTGGAATTCCCATGGTTTGGCGGGAGCAGAGAAACCATGACACTGACTGCTACTTCTGTAGCATCGATCTGACTGGGATAAACAGAAAGAACCGAAGCAGCCTCGAGTATCCTGATTTGCAATCTGCACGTCGTCCTGTAGCTCATTGTGATGATATTCCAGTACCTGTGTTTCACAAACTTCAAGACATCAGTGATGACGAATCCTCTAGTGATGAAGATCAGGAAACAGAAGAAGAATGGCCAGTTGTTGACGATGAAACTCCACAGCTTTTTTCCCAACAGGAGCTAAATGATCTAGTTCGCGACCTCAGCTTGTCAAAGGCCTCTGCTGAACTGTTGGCATCCAGATTGAAAAAAAAACCTCCTCTCTGGCTGTGCTCGCATCACCCTGTACCGCAACAGGCATCAAGAGTACCTCCAATTTTTCTCGGAGGTGCAGGACTTGGTGTACTGCACAGATATTGCACAGCTTCTGCACCACCTGGGAGTGCCGCAGTACAAGCCCAAAGACTGGAGACTGTTCATTGACAGCAGCAAGCGGTCACTGAAATGTGTTCTACTGCACAACGGCAACCAGTTTGCCTCTGTGCCCCTTGCTCACTCTACTAAACTGAAGGAGAAGTATGAAGCGGTGAAGTATGTGCTGGAGATGATTCGTTATGATCAGCATAAGTGGGTTATTTGTGTCGATCTGAAGATGGTGAATTTTTTGTTGGGGCAACAATCCGGGTTCACCAAATACCCATGTTTTCTGTGCATGTGGGACAGTAGGGACACTGCTCACCATTACACGAAGAAGGACTGGCCTGTGCGAGAGGAACTAGTGCCTTGCAGAGCAAGTAACGTTATCAACAGCCCTCTGGTGGACAGAGACAGGATACTCTTCCCACCACTGCACATCAAGCTTGGCTTGATCAAGCAGTTCACAAAAGCTCTAGACAAGGAAGGTGGCTGCTTCAATTACATGTGCCAGACATTTCCGGGAGTAACCATAGTGAACTTAAAAGCTGGTATCTTTGACGGTCCTCAAATCCGTCGGCTCATCAGAAATCCAGAGTTTGAAAAGTCAATGAACAAAGTGGAACAGGAAGCATGGAATGCTTTTGTTCTCGTTGTGAAAAACTTCCTTGGCAACAACAAGGCCAGAAACTATGCTGAACTTGTCAACAATATGGTGACTGCTTTCAAAAACTCGGATGCAACATGAGCATCTAACTGCATTATCTATTTTCACATATGGATCGTTTTCCTGAGAATCTTGGATCAATGAGCGACGAGCAGGGAGAGAGATTCCACCAGGAGATGAAGGAGATGGAGACCAGGTATCAGGGACGTTGGAATGCCGTCATGATGGCTGATTACTGCTGGACTCTAAAGAGAGACATCCCTGATGCTGAGCATTCCAGGGTATCCAATAAACGGAAGTTCCAGCCCTAAATTCTTAACAATGACGAACATTAATGACCCTTACTTAAGGTACTGTGTTTCAGAACGCTTTTTTCTCTTTGAAACCAATTCCGAATGAGAAATGTTCATAGAAATAAACCGATTATGGCACAAAAATTTTACTGATTTATTCACAAATAAAATAAAATAAACATTTAACTTAGCAGAAAAACTGGACCTGACCTAGAGAAACGGATGTCATTTTCGGACTCAGCGGTGCCAAATTATCATAAATCAGTTGTAAAAAATTAGGAAATTTCCTCAAAAATTTTTTTTGTTGCTCAGTGTTATTATACGAGAATTTATACAGCCCTTTTCGAAACAAAAAGTTTTCAAAAGCACCAACAAGTAGAACAAACAAAAATAAAAACAAAAAACATAACGTAATAAATTGATAGTCAAGTACAAGAATAAAAATGTTGTTTAAATAAGTGCGATTTAAATTGTTTGCAGAAATCAGGAAGAGTGATTCCATTTTTGCGAGCTTTTCATAAATAGTTAATTCTTGTAAAATTTGTTTTCATAAAAAAGCGCTAAACGGACTGGCTGATCTTACACTGCAATTGACTAACCAAGTCGATTTAATACTATTAAGTATTAATTATGTTGTTTAAATAATTGCGATTTAAATTGTTTGCAGAAATCAGAAAGTCCATTTTTGCGAGCTTTTCATAAATAGTTAATTCTTGTAAAATTTGTTTTCATAAAAAAGCGCTAAACGGACTGGCTGATCTTACACTGCAATTGACTAACCAAGTCAATTTAATACTATTAATTATGTTGTCTAAATAAGTGCGATTTAAATTGTTTGCAGAAATGAGAAAGCGTGAGTCCATTTTTGCGAGCTTTCCATAAATAGTTAATTCCTGTAAAATCTGTTTTCATAAAAAAGCGCTAAACGGACTGGCTGATCTTATACCGCCATTGACTAACCATGTCGATTTAGTACTATTAATTAATAGTCAATTAAAACAAGTAGTTTATTATGTATACCGGTTCCGAAAAATCTTTTAAACAACTGGATGACGATGGTGATGAGGACATTCCACCAGCCACTGAATGCGAAAAAAGGTGCAGAGAGTTTGCTGATATCACACAAACAGACACAGCACTTGCCATGTTTTTTCTCCAAGACAGAAAATGGAACTTAGAAGTTTGAAATTTTTCATTTTACCTCCGTTCCATCTTCTAAAAATTTCACTGAAACTTCTTATTCTAACCAACGTGAACGAAATTCTTCATTAATGTGTTTATTTTTTTGTGATTGTAATTTGCAATAGTAATGATAAAAAAATGATAAAATAAATCTATTCACTATTGGGCGTGCGAATTTGCATGCCGACCATGAACTTGTTAGATTGCTATAAGACGTGCGAACGAAAAATATGTTCAAAACATTTTTTTATGCCGAATATTTTAACAACTATTTGTAAAAATTTCCGTTACTTATAATTGAAAATAAATTTTTTTAAATAATTTTTTTTAAATAAATTTTTATTTGCGCATCGTAATACTAATATTTATTATCTTTGGCAAGAGTTCATTTTCATTCTTCCTTCAGTTGTGAGCGGGGAGGCTTTTGAAGATTTGTTTGATTTTGATTGTTTTGTTTGATTTTTAATTTAATTTAATAAAATTAAATTTGTTACTTTATCACTCTAATTTGAGAAAATGAATTCACTTTAATTTGAAAAAATGAGTTCCGAGTCGTTAAAGTTGGGAGATGGATTTGTGAATGCTGAAGTGATAGAAATTTTAAAAAAAACTACAATCCAATGAAGCGGGACACTAAAAATTAAAAGAAAAGTTAAAAATTTTAACAAAATATGTCTTCTGGAAAGCGCCAAAATTGTTGATCTTGATCTAGATATGCAATACAGTCAGAGGTTGTTTTTATATTTTTAAAATATTTTCAAGCCTTAATTTCAATTATTATGAATATTTTATATTTTAATTTTTGTATATTCAACAATGGTTACTGCATTAGGTGGGTCTGTAAGCACTATGGAAATGTAAAGCCGTCTGCAAATTTGAAAAAACTGACACAACCTAACCAGGCATCCTAGTTGTGTGGTTGCACTGCAGCAGTTTATGTGGCATACTGCAAAATTCAGAAGGTAGTAATTGTAATCATTACAATAATTTAAATTTATTTATTGTTATCTATTGATTGATAATATTTTAAAAATTAAATTGATTGTGATAATATTTTAAAATATAAATTGAAATATTTCAATCAATCAATCGTTTAGCATCCAGAGACCCAGTTCCCCTGAGGTAGCACGTATAAATTGAAATATTTAATAATGATTAGTGATAATTAAATTTTGTTTATTGTTGTATGTTGATAGTAAGCGAGTGGGGTGATAGGAATTGAAGTTATGATGAGAATTGCTAACAGTATGTTTGATGATGAAGGTATACCTGAGGATTGGCGACACAGTGTGTTGGTGCCGTTGTATAAGGGCAAAGGAGATGTGAGAGATTGTGGGTCATATAGGGGTGTGAAATTGCTAGAGCACGGAATGAAGGTAGTGGAGAGGGTGCTTGAGAGGAGGTTGAGAAATATGGTGACAGTTAATGAAATGCAGTGTGGGTTTATGCCTGGTAGGGGAACGGTGGATGCGTTGTTCATGGTGAGAATGTTGCAGGAGAATTATAGAAAGAAGAAACGAAGATTGTACATGTGTTTTGTGGATCTAGAAAAGGCTTTTGATCGAGTACCGAGGAAGGTCATTGAATGGGCGTTGAGGAAGAAAGTAGTGAATGAGAGACTTGTTAAAGCTGTGATGCAGCTGTATGAAGGGGCAAAGACAAAGGTGAGGGTTGGAAGGGGGATGTCGGACGCTTTTAGTGTTAAGGTAGGAGTGCATCAAGGATCAGTGTTATCACCGTTTCTGTTTGCAATTGTGATGGATGTTGTGTGTGAAAACATAATGGAGGGGTTGTTATTTGAGATTTTGTATGCAGATTATTTAATCTTGATGGCTGATAGCATGGAAGAATTGCAGTTAAAATTTGACAGATGGAAAAGTGTTATTGAAAAGAAAGGGTTAAAAGTTAATATTGGTAAGACGAAGGTAATGGTGGGTGGGGAAGGTGGGGAGCGAGTGATAAGTAAAATAGACCCCTGTGGGGTATGTGACAGGAGAGTGAAGGCTAACTCGGTATTGTGTATAGGATGTCAGAAATGGGTGCATAAGAGATGTAGTGGTGTGAGGGGGCACTGAAAAAGGTGGAAGGCACGTTCAAATGTAAGAAATGTGTTCATGGTGTGATTAATAGGACGGACGCAAGGACGGGGTTGAGTGGTGGTATTGAAAGAGTGGAAAGCTTTGTTTACTTAGGGGATAAGCTGAACACGGATGGAAGATGTTTGAGCGCAGTTACGGCTAGAGTTCGTGTGGGGTGGATGAAATTTAGGGAACTGGGTGGGGTATTGTGTGGAAAGAAATGGTCAGTGAAGATGATAGGGAGGGTATATAAAGCATGTGTGAGAGCAGCGATGGTATATGGTGGTGAAACTTGGGTGTTGAGGAGAGAGGAGGAAAGTGTACTGCAGAGGGCTGAAAGAGCTATGGTGAGGATGATGTGTGGGGTTAAAGTGAAGGATAGGAGTAGTACAGAGCTGATGTCAATGATGGGACTTAATGAGGACATTGTGACATTGATAAGGAGATCGAGATTGCGGTGGTATGGACATGTGTTGAGAAGGGTTGAAAGGGTCGGGATTAGGCGAGCGTTGGAGTTCGAGGTTGAAGGAGTGGTAGGAAGGGGTCGTCCGCGATTGGGATGGAGAGAGCAGGTGGAGAAGGACAGGGTGAAAGCGGGGTTGCGTGATACTGAGGCGAGTGACAGATGTGGATGGCGTCGAGGGGTATTTCGGTTTCATCATAGGTAGCCAAACGGCAACCCCCGATCTCGGGGAAAATGTCGTCTAAACGTGTGTTGTTGTTGTATGTTGATAGTGATAATAATACTTAAAAATTAAATTGAAATTTTTTTGATTATGATTAAATATTAATGATAATTAAATTTTGTTTATTAATAGTGATAATAATATTTAAAAAATTGAAATTTTTAATAATGGAATGTTAAATTTTTATAGCAAATTTTGTAATGGCTGCTTAAACATTTTGGTAGAAGTTTATTATTAAGAAGATGTCTTTGTAGCATAGCCATGATGTTGGTGCATCTGTATTTGCACTATATAAGCAGATAACCGACGCCCTGCAGGAGCTGCTTTGGAGCAGGCTAAAAATATGTTGGATTCTGGTGCAAACCCAACACTTGTAACAAATGTCCTACATCAATCAAACTTTCCTGTAGCAAGAATAGATGTATATAATTTGAAGCAAAAAACAAGGTTATTCATTATATATTTTAACATGAATTCCATTGCATTTGAGATTATATTTCATAATGCCAGGTTCACTGGAACCCTAGAAGATGAGCTGATGGCTGCGCTTGAGTTGCCTAGTGTTACAAGTGATATCTTAGTTGGCGAGAATAGGCCATGGTTTTGTTGACAGTGTTGACATAACAATCATGGGTCTCTACTTAATTGTTTCATCTTAACACATGTGTAAATATGTGTGTTTGTCTCTGTGTGTTACTATATGACACTTGATGTAATAAATTTTTTATTTTTAAAATTGTCATTCTACAACAAAAAAATGTTTTATATTGTCTTAATAAACGTCAAATTTTGCGCTTTGACTGCGTCCTGTATCGTCAAAATAGCGTCAACTTTGTTGTACAGACTTCGGCCATCTCAACGTCGAATTCGTCGTGCGATTCTCACGCTTTTCACTGTTTAAACGTCGTGTTCGCACGCCTTATAGCATCTCAACGTCGAATTCGACGTGCGGGTTCCTCACGATTTATAATTTCGAACGCCTGAGCGTCGTATTCGCCCGTTCGTGATTCGCACGCCTTATAGCATCTCAACGTCGAATTCGACGTGCGGGTTCCTCACGATTTATAATTTCGAACGCCTGAGCGTCGTATTCGCCCGTTCGTGATTCGCACGCCTTATTGCAAGCATCTCGACGTTGAATTTGATGTGCGGGTTTTCACGATCTATAATTTCAAACCTCTAAACGTCGTATTCGCCCGTTCGTGATTCGCACGCATTATAGCATCTTAATGTCGGGTTAATTTCTATTTTCATCTCAACGTCGAATTCGTCGTGCGATTCTCACGCTTTACACCGTCTTAGCGTCGTATTCGCCCGCCTATGGTTCGCACGCCTTTTAGCATCGCAACGTCGAATTTTACATGCGGGTTTCTCACGATTTATAATTTCAAACATCGTATTCACCCGCCCGTGATTCGCACGCCTTATTGCAGGCTTGTCCAACCAGCGGCCCGCCAAAGGTTTTCATCCGGCCCGCCGGCCTTCTTAGAAAAATATTAAAAATATAAAATTTAAAGTATTTTTATTAAGTGGGTTAGATGTAAATTTTAAACTTTTTAAAAATAATTTTTAATTTAAACTCTTGTATTAATAAAAACATTAATTATTAATAATGCGCTACGACCGCGATTCATTTAAAATAGTTTCTTTGACGACGCAAAGGACAACGTAAATAAAACGTAACTAGCAAACGATATTATGGCGTCCGTCGATAAAAAACGTAAAATTGATTCTGAAAATCGTATTTTTAAAAGTTCGTGGACAGAAAGTTATTTTGTTGTGCAGCAAGCCGATGTTATTTTGTGCCTCATTTGTCAAGAAACAATTGCCGTTCACAAGGAAAATAACATCAAGAAACATTACTGCTCTAAACATAGCAGTAAATTTGATGGTGTGGTGGGCCAAACACGAACTGATCGCATCAACTCGATGAAACAGGAAATTGTTGCCCAACAGTTATTGTTTAAAATTGGCAACCAGAGTGCCGAAGGAGTCTATGTTGGGTGACACATGATTCACCAGGTATAACTTTGACATTTTTGAATAGCCTTCGGTGTTGTTGCTTGACAGCGTAGAAATCAATTTGTGTGGCTGATGGTCCACTTTTGTATGTTATGAGATGTTCCAACCTCTTTTTTAAAATATGTGTTCAGTAAACAAAACCCGTAACTTTCAGCAAACTCAAGGATGCGGTTGCCATCTTCATTCCGTTCTCCATAGCCAAAACCGTCATGCAAGTTGTCAACGTGGCCATTGAGATCGCCTCCAATCAGGATTATTTCAGATTTTTTTGGTATTATTGAGATGGTGTCAGAAAACGCAGCCCAGAAGCCATTTTTCATCTCTTCTGATTCGCCTGTCTGTGGTGCGTATGCATAAAAAATAATCATTGTTTGCTTTTCTAGGCGAAGCTTGATCCACATGAGACGTGAATTAATCCTTTTAATATCTAGTAATCTTGGGCTAGCGGTTCTTCGACAAAAATTCTAACACCATTTTTGGCCATCTTTTGACCATTTCAGAATAGTTTATATTTTTCTTTGTCTGAGTTGACATGACAGACACCATTCGATTTCCATCGGGTCTCCTGAAGGCAGTAGATGTCAATCCTTCTACGCTCGAGCATTTCTGCGATTTCCATGCTGAGGCCAGTCAGTGATCCAACATTAAGCGTTCCAATTCTAAGTACCATAGAGGGGCTATTCTGAATTTTTCTGCAACATCCCTCCCCTATTGCATACTTCCCAGGGATTCTTGGCACCCCTTGATCATTTAAGGCCTGCTGTCTACTAGGGGCTGTTGTTTTTCTTTGTGATGGCATAGGAATAATTTGTGGTAAAGGTTTTACATCCGAACACTCATCCTGACGACAACCACCAGTTATAAACGTTATGGATGCAGTTTTATGTCATGCCCAGGACCAATATAAGATTTTTATAGTGACCAATTAATAATGTTTTATAAAATAACATTAACGTTAAAACGCTAACAACTCACCTTTATAAAAGCCACAAAAGATAGAAAGACAAATGTTGAAAAAATTTTCATTTAGTTCTGTTTTGAAAACGTTTCCAAAAACTACAAAAACAAAAAAATACCGCGAAAATTAAAAAAAAACCTGCAGCTAAGCATTCCACTACTCAATTAACATTTATAAGTTAAAAAAGAGTATTTTTTAATTTTTAGAATAATCAATAAAATTAAAATTGTTTTGTTTTTTTTTTAAATTAACATCAAGCATGATTTTTTTCTTTTATTATTTTAGGACTTAGTGCGCCACTTCATCCATAAATGTTAAGTTTTAATTTAAATTTGTTGATTATTTTTCAAGGTGTCTTTAAGCGATTATTACCAAAGTTTAGATACGGAGAAGAACTCAAGCACTGGTTTAAATTTTAGAGATTTTTCATTTGATATTTGGAAGCATAAACCTATTTTTCCTGCAGACGAATTGGCATCACACTTTTCTGATTCTGAACCTGATAGAATAAGAATAATGTCATGGAACATTGATGGTTTAGATGATAATAACGTAACAACTCGAGCAAAATCTGTATGTAAAACCATTTTAAGGTTTTTTAATACTTTTGTTTTTGCTATTTATTATCATAATTATCAACATGAAAGTTATCTACAACTATATTTTTTTGTTACCAAATATAATAAAAGCATAAATTAATTAAAAATCCGTACTCCAAACCAATACCAGTTGCTTTGTTAATCCATCATTATTCCCCATTAGCGTTTCCATGGATAAGCTTTTTTTTCTAGAAGCACTCCTCAGTCTGTTTACAATTCAGTTGATGTTTATTACCTTTCTTGCCCTCATGAAATTGGTTTTTTATACTGTTTAAAACCAAAATGGAGTGTTTTGGGCATATAGATATAAATTTTAACAACAATGATTGTAACTTTAGCAACAACAACAACATTAATAATAACAATGATGTTGGTTATGACGATGATGGTTATGGTAATTAAGAAAATGAAGAAGATGAAGATAAGGATATAATAATAATAATGGCAACAATATCGTTAATAATATTAATAAATATTCTATATTAATAATTAAAATAATATAGAAAATATTAGTGGTAAAAATCACAGTAATGATATTATTAATTAAAATATTGAAAACTTTTTAGTATTACGTAAAAAAAAGATTAAATAAATCATAAATTAAAATATATACGATAAAATAACATAACAAGAAAAAGTAAAATAAATGTAAATAAGATAAAATCTTGCTGCACATTCTGTTGGAATGTGCAGTGCAGAAAGATAAAATATTTAAATGGTTATAAATTGTTTCCAGTGGAGGATCTAAACAAATTTTGTGAGTTATATCGACGAGCCAAGTAACACGTCAAGCCGAATCTGGGAGTGTTGAATAATCGGCAACTTTACGTGCACACAGATGGGCGGCGTGATGGCTCAATGGTTAAAGGCGCCTGGTCTTGCTATTGTAATGACTGGGTTCGAATACAAAGAGATCCCCGCCTGTTATATGCAATGTGTATGATGCGTGGTTTGCACGCGTATTCATATATGCTGTGTGTGTTTGTCGTTGAAACCTCTTGAAGCAAACGCAAAAAAGAGGGAAAAACCTTTAACAGACTCGTCTGTTAACTATTTAAACTCACATTTACGCTAGTTAAAATTACACTAGTACTTTCTATACTGAGTGCGTACTTGCAAGAAGCCATTACATGGGCCACCGTTTCAATTTCTCCATGTAAGCTATACTTAGCTTCTCCTGCTTCCTTCCATCTAGCAAGATTTTCTCCTTATAAAAAACACCAGTTTTTCCTGGAGCTTTGTTCCACATATCATTTCACGTTAAACTCCTCAGAAGCACACTCTTCCGCGTTGTCCATCCGCCTTGTTGATATCTTTCTACGGCTGTCACCACTCGTTCCAATCATCTGTTCCTTACTTTAGTCGATGCCTTTGACCACCGCTTATTTGAAAACCAGCCCACGCCATGTCCTGTACTTTGAACGGCTCCCACAATCACTTTAAACTTTAATACATCTTCCGCGAATTTAATTTCTTTCTCTGCGTTCCGTTTTCTTCTTGTTTTTAACGATGACTTTACTTTTTCACCAACATATATATATATATATATATATATATATATATATATATATATATATATGTTGGTAATAGACCATAATTTTTACAATATTCTATAAATTCTACCGAATGATTGGCATTAATATGTTTGTAGTGCGTGT